CATTTTTGCATGTGTATATATAATTTTCTCTCGCTTTATACAAAACAGAAACAGAATTATACACTTCTATGTATAAAGCGAGAGAGGCGAGCGAGATTTTTGGGAAAGAGAATCTGGCAAATTTTAGCTAATGTTTGTTATGGAGCACAATTAAATCAAACCTTAACTATTCATTTATTTTAAGTTATTAGTTTGCTATTATATATAATTGTTCCTATTATTACTAGAAAATGAAAGAGTGAGACTTGGAAGATAATGATATCCATATTAATATTGGGACCAATCATCGATCATCACTAATTGATAATGCTTGTAAAATGCACACCATATAAGACCTTAATTATCAACAAACTATTTTTCTTTTTTTTCTGTTCACTAGTCAACGTATAGCTCTTCAAAGTTTCAAGTGTCACTTGGAGTTGAAACATACAAGTTGGGTCACTAAATTACTAGTTGAAGATCAACTATATGTGTATGATACTAATTTCGTTTTCATATATAAGAAATCTGAAGAGGTCATTTTCTTTTATTCAATTTGAATAAATTGATCAAGAGAAATTGCTTTCTCGTAATAAAATACATGCAACACGTCTAGTTATTATTACATGTATACAAATAGTAAATTCAATAATTTCATTAAAGATATTAAACTTAATTTTTCAATGAATGATATTCGTCTAACCATCACTTTACCGGGGCTATAGTATATCATGTAGTAAGATGTGACCCAACTATAAAAATTAGATAAAATTCAATGGTAGATTTGTTAACATGGAGACTCAAGCGCATATATATATATATATATATATATATATATATATATATAACATATACAATTGTATAATTCGCTGGCCTAAATTGTATAACTCGCTGGCCTATTTCGCTGCAATTGTATAATTTGTTTTGCATACAGTTGAATCGAATTAAAATGTATCTATATTGCATAATTATAAGTGTATAGCAAGAAGATATATGTTTTTCTCGCTTTATACAAAAACAGAAACACAATATATACACTTCTGTTGTATAAAGCTAGAGAAAATTGTATTTCACTGCTATTGTATAATTCACAATTGTATAATTCGTTGGCCTTTTTCTCTACAATATTTGAAGTAAAATGTTTGTAAATTGTATAATTAAGTGTATAACACGAAGATATACATTTTTGCATGTGTATATATAATTTTCTCTCGCTTTATACAAAACAGAAACAGAATTATACACTTCTATGTATAAAGCGAGAGAGGCGAGCGAGATTTTTGGGAAAGAGAATCTGGCAAATTTTAGCTAATGTTTGTTATGGAGCACAATTAAATCAAACCTTAACTATTCATTTATTTTAAGTTATTAGTTTGCTATTATATATAATTGTTCCTATTATTACTAGAAAATGAAAGAGTGAGACTTGGAAGATAATGATATCCATATTAATATTGGGACCAATCATCGATCATCACTAATTGATAATGCTTGTAAAATGCACACCATATAAGACCTTAATTATCAACAAACTATTTTCTTTTTTTCTGTTCACTAGTCAACGTATAGCTCTTCAAAGTTTCAAGTGTCACTTGGAGTTGAAACATACAAGTTGGGTCACTAAATTACTAGTTGAAGATCAACTATATGTGTATGATACTAATTTCGTTTTCATATATAAGAAATCTGAAGAGGTCATTTTCTTTTATTCAATTTGAATAAATTGATCAAGAGAAATTGCTTTCTCGTAATAAAATACATGCAACACGTCTAGTTATTATTACATGTATACAAATAGTAAATTCAATAATTTCATTAAAGATATTAAACTTAATTTTTCAATGAATGATATTCGTCTAACCATCACTTTACCGGGGCTATAGTATATCATGTAGTAAGATGTGACCCAACTATAAAAATTAGATAAAATTCAATGGTAGATTTGTTAACATGGAGACTCAAGCGCATAATATATATATATATATATATATATATATATATATATATATTGGACATCTACATTTTACAGTGTTTACATAATGCTGCCATTTTAACTGTTTTTCGGTGTTACTCAGCGTCAGACAGAAAGTATCTGTGAAATAAGAGGGAAAATAAATTTAGTATATAGTTATGGAGTGTTGAGCATCCAAAAGACATGCAATTTAGAAAATATTTCAATATAAAACTAGACTACTACAGAAGACATGCAATTTATTTATATAAACAATCGATAGAATAGGCTATAAAGTTGATGAGAACTATTCAGCAAAGAATACAACAATATTTAGATAAAATATTCAAAGAAAGAAACCATTAACTAAAAATTTCCAAATTCATTAACGAACCACAAAATAACTATAATTTTAGTGAGCAGAAATTACTAAGCATTATCTCAATAACAAGGGACTGATTGATAACTCAATAAAGAAGCACATTGTAGCATACAACATTTGGAAGAATTTATATTTGACATAATACATATATTAGATCCTAAAGTTGGCTTCAAATTTTAACTTTGATCTCCAACTTTCATAATGAACAAACATGCACTTTAACTATCCAACTTTTAAATAAATAAACACATGAAACTCTACATGGCAAAATACACTTAGGACACCACGTAGGACAAAAAATGACATGTAGGACATGTGTGTCTATTTGTTCAACTTTATACAAGTTTAAGTGTCTACTTGTGCATACCCAAAGTTGAAGGGCATAAATGTGATTCTAAACCAAGTTAAAGGACATATTTATGTATAATGCCTTTATATTTCATAGGATATATAAAATTTAAAGTATATGAGTATGGGTGAAAGTTTATCCATTCACGTGATATGTAAATTTGATAGTGAGTCAATGATTAAAATTTTAAAGATCCTTCATTTGTATTAGTGAAGTAACTAAAATCAAACAAGTATAACAGAAGACTCCTTTAGGAAAGAACTCCTTGGCTAGTGATGCAGAAAGTTAATTGTGCTCAACTAATCTAAAAATCGATTAGTTTTCATTAGAGGGGGGACATGAATAAACATCAAAAGCTAGGATATATTTCTTTATTCGAGAACAGAGTTTCATTAGAATTCCAGAGAACTAAGATCTACTGTATAAGAAGCAATATAAGAACAAAAGTTGAAAGAAAGACCAAAAGTTGAATTAAGAGTGCATTGGATTAAAACATTTTTGAATGTAAAGCAATTGAGGTCCAAAGAGATGCAAAATTAGGTGAAATAATTATGGTTCCTTTGAAGAACAAATAACGAATTATATAACTCAGACATACGCGTGTGTACATTTGACATGATGTAACTACTGATTTTGCAGACAACTATTTAGAGCTAATACTTTTCTCACAAAAAGCAACACAAAAACAACATTAAGCAACAAGCTTAATACAAAAACTAATTCTTAAAATTAGTTGATAGACTCGTAAGTTTTTCTTGTGTGTTCACAAAATCAGTTGACAGACAATTTTGCTAAGCACCGATCCTCCCTCTTTATTTGTACAAGATTTCACTTATTCTATGATCTCTCAGGACTGGTCATTCCTGAATATTTTCATGAGACTTCTCTTATCCTATGTCATCTTAAGACTTACACAACAATGATTATAAAGTAACAATTGCATTTCTTAAATGGATTGGTATCCATACAGATCTCAATTCAACTTTTCCTAAGTTTTACAAAGAAAATCAACAATATCCAACCCAAATATTAACTTTCCTATAACACAAATTATGCCTACAAAACAAAATAGAGTAAAACGTAGATTTAGAGTGACAAAAGTGCTCCACATAAAACTCAAAAACAACAATTTAACGTTACCAAATGTAGCAAGTAAGGTTTAACCAAAAAGATTTACAGAAAATTTCACTTATCAATTTGAAAAGCTTTGGAGATTAGATTTTTTCAGTTTAGCAGGCCTCAAAAAGTTGCTTACGACACAACAGTAAATCAGAAAAATGAAACAATGAGTTTTCTTTTAGAAAAAGAAAACCACAACCACCCCCTGCTCAAATCACACAGAGACAGAGAGAACAAAACTCTAACTTGGAATCAAATTAATCAATAGCCAAATTTAACTAAAAATGAAACCTTAGAATTCAACTTCCCCCTAAATTCCAACAAAAGAAAAATCAACAACATTTCAAACCCAAAACTGTAATTTTCATACAACACAAAATTATACCTATTAAATAAAAGAGTAAAAACGTAGATTTTAGAGTGACAATAAAATGCTCCACATCAAAACTCAAAAGCAACAGAACAAAACTTTAGCATGGAATCAAATCAATCAATAAAAAAAATTAATTAAAAATAAACCTCCCAATTCAAGTTTCCCTAATCAACAACATTCAACCCAATCACTAATGTTCCTATAACACAAATTATGCCTATAAAACAAAGAAGAGTAAATGTAGATTTAGAATGACAACAAGTGTTCCACATCAACACAAGAAACAATACTCCAATTAAGTAGAAGAGCATGGAATTGAAAATAAATGAATGAAGACAGATTACAGCCAGTAAAAAGCAAAATAAAAATGGTATGCAACACATCTATTTGACTACAAAATGATTTATGAAAGTAGATGGTTATTTGTTAGTTTAGTAGCAAATACCTCTTCATCTTGTAATATCATCAATTAATATTTCTTGTTTTCTTCACTGTTGATTCGAGGATGGCCTTTATCTATCACTTGGACTTTACAAGTCCATTATTCTGTGCTCATGTCGATTTATTGATATTCAATCTTTCTGTCATGGCTGAAAACTGAGGTTAAAATATGCCAGTCAACATCATTAACGGAAGAAGAATAGTATGAAAAAGAAAGATATATAAGATTAAATAGCATTTTAGAAATCCCCAGTACCACCCTGCTCCACCAATTCCCCTCTCACGCCTGAGCTCAAACAAGTTAACCAATAAACCTCCCTTACTACTCCTACTTTCTCGTGTAACTTATACCTTGTTCAATGAACTTAATTCACCCGCACTAACATATTTCATAATCAATTACTAATTGAGAATTCATCTTCCAAAAGACCAATATAAAGCGTTATAATTTAGAGCTTGTTTTGATTGAATTAAAAGTTCATAAATTCTACAAGTTACTTTTAACTTTTGCGAGAGATTTTGAGCACCATTGGTCAGCAAGAAGTTGCTATATTGAATAGTTGTAAGGTAGTTCTTTAATTTCAATGCGTAGTTACAATGTAAGTATTAATTTTTTCACTTCCTCATTTGTTCTTAAGGCTTGTTTGGGGTTGCAAGATTTTCTACGTGGGAGAATTGTTCTTGCATATGTACAGAAACTTGGGTTTCAATCGAATTTAGTTTTGTTGAATGCACTTTTTCATTTATATGTTACATTTGGAGCAATGAATGATGCTATGTTCCTAGATCAGCAAGTCCATTGGAGTATAAGTAATTGAAAATCCTTAAACTCCAAACTAAACCCACAAGAGCCCAGAAAATTGATTCCAATGGAAAATCGTGAATGGACAAAGTTCAAAAGGATTCAGATAAAGAAAATCCAACTAAAATAAAGAAACCCATAAAGTTAATTTCGAAGGGAAAAGACCAAACTAATTACTGCATGTGAGAAAGCACAACACAAATCTGAATTACTCTACTATTATATTAGAAAAAGCTAGTAAAACCTGTGATTTGGGTGCTAAATTCTGTTGGATTTCTGCTCTTTTTTATCTCTCTGAAGTTCGATTGTGAGATAAAAGACCAAATGGCCAAGTCAAAGAATCATACCGCAAACAATCAGTCCAACAACTACAAGGCTCACAAAAATGGAATCAAGAAGCCAAAGAGTCACCATCATAGCTCCACCAAAGAGGTATGTAAAAAGAACCAAACTTTTATTTTAGACTTCGCTTTATTTGATACTTTTCATGTTGATATCAGTTTCTTTTACAACTTTGACTGTTGGGTACATTAGCTCCTCTTAGGCTGTAGATTTAGAATTTGAGTTGATGAAGTGTTGATTTTGAGATATGAAAATTGTGTTTGAACATCGAGGATACAGTTTTTCAACAATTCAAAATAGAACAGGCAAAGCATTATCACCCAATCAAAAGATAATCCAACATCACTAACAAACCCAAATGAAATAATAAGTAAATATTTACACATCTAGATCAAATTTTGAACTTCGATTTAGACGAACAGGAAGATGACACAAAAAAAACTCCATTGAAACATGTAAAAATCATACATGAAGAATGGTGAAGTTGATGGGCAGAGGATAGAGAAGACACGTCACAATAAGAACTAAAAAGACAAAAGTACTCTTGAGAGCAGTGAAGCAGGCATGTTGAAACAAGTCTTTTCTAATATAAGAGGAGTAAGAGTAATATATATATAACATATTAAATGGATGTCCTTTAATCTTATAATTTTAAATATGACATATGAAAAATTTAAATTAAATATTTAAAAATAAATAAAATATTTTTTTAATAATTAAAAAATAAGATAAACAAATTACTTAATACGGCGGGAGTGATGTTTTTGTTAAAGAAACAATTAAGAGATATGGTATAATATTGTTACTCTTTTGATTCTTCTTTCTAAATTCGAGGATCGCTAATTGCGTATTTTTCAAACTAAGATGATTTGAACTTTTTCTTCATGAAAGAATTTAAGAATCTTGATCTCCATAATTTGAGTGTTATTAGTGACTATATCTCGATTAATGTTATTGTAATAGTCAATTGATCTTTAATATTATTGATTCGTTATACAATTTATGGTTAATTGATATAAATAAGCGTTCATGATTGATTTGTATATTAATATTTTTTTAAATATATGTGTTTATAAGTATTCAAAATTGATGACATTATAGTACATTTTAAAAATGTATTCTTCATAACATAAAAAATAAAAAGTTTAATTATGATAAAAAATTCTTTAAGTATGAAAATTTATTCTCAATAAACTAATATATTTTTTTTAAAAAAATAATATGATTCTTGTTTAGTTAAATGAGTTTAACGAATTAAATTAGTCTATTATTAGAAAAAAAAACGTTGATGACATTTCATGCCAACTAGGAGAGAACGAGACTTTTGAAGTGTCGTCTATATTTGAAAGAAAATAGTGATAGATGAGTACTCCCTCCGTCCAGAAATAATTGTCAGGTTTAGATGATACACATCCCTCAAGAAAAATTTAATATAATATGTAATTCGACTAATATAATCCTAGAAATAATTGCCAGGTTTATAACAATAACTCTAATGACTCTTACATTTAAAGGCAAATGAAGTTTATACAGAGAATGGATACAGAGAATGGACTTTTGGTATACAGAGAATGGATATTTACGTGCTACTGCTCTAATGACTCTTAAAAAACTGTACTTAGAATGGTTGATATTTTATTGAAAACTGCAAAAGCAACCTTTTATAAATTAAAGTTTTCTTGTAACTTTAAATCAATAATTATTAAGGGTACAATTGGAAAAAAATGAGCTAATTAGTTGTTGATTGCTTTAATTGATAATTAATCTTGGACATTTATTTTTAGTATACCTGACAATTATTTCTGGGCAGAGAAAATAATATTTTAATCCTAGATAAAACATAAATGATATTCTAAGATAATTCTCTTTAACTTGGGTGATGATTTAAGAAATTGACTCCACGATTGAGCTAAATGATTAAGCAAATATTATAAATTTTCTCAAAAGCTATTATTGACTCTTTTCGGAAAAAATAAAAAATAAAAAATAAAAAAATTGTATGCCATTTGTTATTCGGGTTAATTAACCTCTACCCGACCTGAACCGGATTCTGGAAGAGCCTCTACAATGGCGGATTCACTTCTCTCCATTAACTTGTCAGAACCCAAAATCAACAATAAATTTCCCCGCAAACATTGAACTCAAACCCTAACCCTAATCGTGAAAATTCATCTAATAAATTGCAGTTCACCGGTTGACGAGGAGATGGAAACTCACATGTCTCATCATCATCAGTATGAAAGACGACCCATATACAAGTCCAAAGCTCCTGCTTCCAAATGGTTTAAGGAATGGTAAGCGAAACAGCTCAAAATTATTCTCAATTCCGTATTAATCACTTGTTAAATTATGCTTTTATTCCGTATGGAAAAAGATGTTACTTATAAGCATGGGATAGAAGAGGCGAGAAGGATTTCTGTTGGTTTAAGGACCGGAAGAGCAGGATAGATACAGGAGAATTAGTTGTCTGATTCCAATTCACTACTCGAAGCTACTTTCTAGTGCTATATCGGAGGAGCGGTGCACAAGCAATTATAACTATGAATTGAATTTGCTTCTTGATTTCTTTCTGCCAATTATAATTGGAGACTTCATAGGATGGGCATTTGTTTGTAACTTGATGGGGCATGATTTGCACTAATTTTTATCAAGAAATTTTTCTGAATGAACGGGATTTGATTAAAAGGAGTCATATGTGGGTCTGATTCATGTGCGTTTTTTGGAGTTCTGGGGTAGTTTTTATCATGTTTAGGTTTTGTTAGATTGACTGTCTGTCTTATTGGGTGTAAATTTGACTGTGATGGTGCATCTATGGAGGAAAATGGTTATAGTTTTATGATTATCTAAGGATAGTATCAAGCAACTAAGCGTCAATCTCAAATTAGTTCAATCGGCAGCATGAATCTGTTATATACTCAACTCTATTAGGTCTCAGTATTCATCATATTTGGACAATTTATGTTACCGTTAACCTACCGTAACACTCCTCCATTATCTGGATATTGGATGGGCTAATTCGTTAAGAAGCTCACATGGGAAAAATTGTAAAGATGCTAAAAGGGAAGTATTTCTCGTCAAGAGAAAGATGATGTGATTCAGTATGAATCAGTTGTATTGCAACCTCGAATTTGCAACTTCTTTGCTTGATATTTTTCATCAGGGGAGGGTTAGGACCTAGAATTCAGCCACTAAAAGCTGCAAAAGAGATCACTGGACAAATTGCTTCTTTAGCTCCAAGCAAACTTGTCAGTTCACAATCATGTTAGGGAGAACTGGAGGAGTGATTACAATAATACATTAGAAAATCGCATTGTATCATGTTCCTTGTATTGCTAATGTTCTATAACTTGCATGAACTGTTAGTAGGTTAGATACATGTTTGATTTGTATAACCGTTCCTTTAATCATCTCAGAGGATCAGTCATTAGTCACTGACTGATGAAAGTATGTTTAGCCATGTATTTTCATTATAATTCCTACCATGTTTTAATTCTTTTACTAAAATCAATTTTATCCCAGGGTCCCACAAGATGTTGTAGCAACTGGTGGGAAGTGCTACGTCTTAAAGTGGGTGAATGGTAAGTTCTGAATTCTGCTTCAGTACATCTTTTGGATAGTCTTGTGTTGATTAATCTTATATTCTTTATTTTTCCGTATCTTTTCTTGATTTTCAAATGCATATGCTGTGGCTTTTGGGTTGTACATTGAATTTGACCTTATACTCCTCCTTTCTATTTTGTTTATCAGAGGCCACATTAAAAGCTCTGAGGGAGAAGCCAAAAGAGGCAGGAGTACCTGTGTCAGAACCAGAGCCAACTACTGAAGTTCTTTTTCTTTGTAGCTATGAAGGTTGTGGAAAGACATTTATTGATGCTGGGGCCTTGAGGAAGCATTCTCACATCCACGGGGAGAGGCAGTATGTATGCCACTATGAGGGTTGTGGAAAGGTGAGTTTTTGTTGTCTTTGTATTGAGACTGCACTAAATGCTTGATTATTTCATTGTATTGATTCTACCATCATTTTACTTATTTTGCTTTCATGATACTTCCCTCCGGACTCTGGCAGGGTTTGATTGGGGGAGGAAGTGATGGGCATATGGAATTCGTTCTTTTTCGCAATTATATTACCTTCGTTTATGTAGTGCTTCTTTCTAGAAATCTGCTTTTCAAGATACCGTAGGTGTTCCTTGAGCTCATAAGATACTTCCGTAATAAATATTGATTGGCTGAGGAGTTGATTTAGGTTGTATTACTTATCAAACAAACGTTCACTGAAGTTGTATTTCCGGAAGTATTGTTTCATTTACTGCTGAACCGTCTTCAACCATTTTGAGCCTCAGATTGTGGGAAAAAAGAACCTCTCAATCTTATACAAGGAAGAGGAAAGGTTTGCGTATGGTGAAAAAAAGAAAAATCAGAGTTAGGTTTGTACAACAACTACTACTACACTTCAATCTCAAGCATTACTCATTATCAAGTAGGGAATTGAAAAATGTCAAAGATCATTCTTGAGATTTTGAGTTATCTGTCAGTGAAAGGAACGAAGTTTCAAAAAAAATAAAAAATTCCCATAACTGTAGTTTGTTCCCTTCCTTAATTTGGTTAAGTGGGATAATTTACAACTTCTTGGTTATAAAGTTATCGCAGTAGAGCTTGCTTGGACACCACCTTACAAAAGGTTATACATTAAGGGAGAATTACCTATAGTGAAGTTACCCTGCTTCCAGGGAGATTAGAAGCCAAGATGTTAAGGATCTTTGGAGCTCAGCAACACAATTCTGGAATGTTCCAGATGGGACGTCTCATTGACACAGTATTCATTATTCATAGTATTGGATGTGAGACTTTAAAGCTTACTTTTCAGGGGAAAGTCCGTGTTTACATTTTTTCATATCAAACTTCTTTTCGCATAAAGTGTTCTCAACATGATTTATGCAAACAACAAAGTTCTGTCTTCACTTGTTGAGAAGCAGTCGCTCATTTAAACTTACTCCCTCCGTTCTGGTTGTCCACCTTTTTGCTTGGTCTCACTGGTTCAGACTTCAGAGGAGCAGCCATTTTATCATGGTTGCCCTTAAACTATCCATTTGTTACTCTACCATAATGTTTCGTCAGGTGAAAAATATTGCATGGATGATTTTGCTAGGCGAAAGGTCATTCCTCTTATAAAAGAAAATGAAAATGTTCTATGTTCTTTGTTCGGCCAAAAGATGAAAGCATCTAAAAGAAAGTGAGGAATGGAAAGAATAAAACTAATAATGGTTGTAAATCTTGGTGAGGCTGTAGATACCTGGTAAAATTTTCAAGGTGCGAGTAAGTAAGCTAGCGAAGACACCACAGTTAACAAAAACAAATAAATGTAATTAGACTATCACTAATTTATCTTATCCAACCAAGAAATAAATAAAACTAATAACTGTTGAAATGATTATTCCCAGTGAGAATGAGAGATCCGAAGGGAAGGAAAAAAGAATTGGAGGGGAGATTCCATTCAGTGCCATGAAGGGTAAATGTATAACAGTGTCAATTTTTGGTCAGTAGACACTGTTTTAGGAGATTGGAAAAAAGGTTCAGGGGCTAATCAGTTGGTTTGGAGTAGGTAGTAGGTACATTTTCTTCTTTTAAAAAAGTACCATGCATTCAGGCTAAACCAAGACTTTCACTTTAGGTAAATATTTTTCAGAGCACTGTTTGATTTTCTCTTTGATGGAAGAGATTGAGCGTCAAA